ATTTCAATAATTAGTGTGTTGTTGTTTTTCGATTTAATTTGGTTCCTAGGAGAAAAAGCTACAAAGGTTGATTTTCCTTTTTTTAATTTTGTTAACATGTTTGTGCCCTGTTTGGCAGCTGATGCATAGCTTAAAGTAGGTCTGTGTTTGTGCTGTTCCTCTGTAGTATAACTTGTTTCTTCTTCAGTAGTTGGCATATGACTGATTTTATCATTGTTTACATTTTTATCACTTGTTTTGTTCTCGTAATTTAACATGTTTTCTAAAGTTTGAAAGTTGTTGTTTCTTTGAATAATATTCTCCAACCAGTCTTCCTTATTTTGGATTACTACTACTGATACTAGTTTTTCACTAGCTACTTCTGTTTCTTCTTGTGTTGCAGAAACACACTCAGAAGAAACATTGTTAGACTTTTCTGCCAAGGGGTTGTTATTTTCTTCTCTTTCAACATTAAGTTTTTGCATTTTAAAAGTTTTTTCTGTCAATAAAGGTTCAACTCTTAGAGGGAGTTTTCTTTTCTTAGATACAATGGCTCTGGCTCTTGAGGTGGCTTTTTTGTTAGGTTTTGTTTTGTGTTTAGTGACTTTATGATTGTTGTTTTTATTTTTCTTTCCCGATCAGAGGTGAACAGAAAATAGTTTCTTATTTTTTTAGAACTATATTATTTATAATAGAACTGTCAATGAAGTTTATCAAGAGATTCTGCAGCTTTTTAATTATATTGGCAATAAAATCTTTTTTTCAACTGATCAAAGAATAGCAGTGCAGAATCCATTTTATCTAATAAGTAATACACAAATTTCTACAATAATTGGGTTACCAAGAAACTATAAATCAAAATATCAAAGCCTAGTCAATTGTTTAATGATAAACTGTTGGATAGAACAAAGACATATAATTAGGAGTCTGCCAGTTGTTCAGAAAATATTAATAATTTAAAAACTGATGATAATGTACATAACAATACTTTGGAGATTGCTATTAATATCTCTCATTCTATATGCCAATGTAATACTACAAGAATTCACAATAAATGTCACACTTATACTAAAGATGTATGTTTATTAATAATTATTTATTACTAAATATAATTTTTTATTAATTATTTTTTCACTTTATTTAGCCACAAGCATTGGGTGGTAGAAAAGAAAATGATTTAACCTTAGTAGTGAAAAGGTTACTTGAAGAGTTATTTCTCAAAAAAGTGTGTTCCTGGAATCCTAAAGAATTTACAAATATGGCAGTAGAAAAAAAGTTATGTTTAGATGATAATCTTATAGAAAACAGAGTAAAATTGTATAGATGGATTAGTAATCGAAAAATTCATGCAAAGAATATAAACAATGTTAATACCTAACTTATAGTCATTAACATAAATAGTCAAAAAGAAGTGCTGTTTGGGAGTAAAATAGTTTGCTTATTTAGGTTTATATGATGGATTCTTTTGTTGTAAAAATTATGTAATCCAAAACAAGCTTTTACAAAATTATGAATCTGAAAGAATAATTCTATTCAAAGTAAGTAAGAATTAACTTTAGACTAATTCAAAATTCTAACATCTAAATTAATTTAAAATTTCAATTTAATGTTAAATAGATTTAGAATCTACTTAAAAGTAGATTTAGAATCTACTTAAAAGTAGATTCCAAATTTAGTTAAATTATATTTCAATATATGTATATGCATATATCTTTGTTCACAATAATAAACACTTTTCCAGCTTCACATCTTCAAATTAATTAAAATCGGAGCTAGTAATGTCTTAAGTGCAACTATAAATAATAGTATATGTGACTGTATGTATTTATTGTATTCATTTAAACTATTCTTTCACTATCTAGCTGCATTGCTGAAAATACTGAGTTGAATCCTTCTTGATCATCTTTTAAACATTATCTTATCTATTAAAAGGAATATTAATAATCCATACATGATCATATAGTAATATGCCTTTTTAAGAAGTTTTATTTTAACTTCTATTTTTTTTAAATATTCAATGTTCAAACTTTTTGGTTAATAATTACAAATCAAAGGTCTCAATTTATTGTTTAAAGCTTAGCAAAGGACTTATAATAGATAAGTAAATATCAAAAAATGTTATAGAATTTCGATTATCTGACAACTTACATGCATATTCTTGCATATCTATAAAATTATCTGTTTAATATCTGCTCTAGACATATAATAGTATCTTTTTTTCTAGTTAGATACATAGTCTTTTAATACTAACTTGCTATATTGTTGTTATTTATTTACTGCACAAAATACAAATAATACAACTACAACACTAAACAATTTTGATATAATATTACTGTGCTTTGTAATGTTATCTTACAACCTAGACAAACTGTTATTGAAACCTCTTGTGACTTAGGCTATGTTTACTGGACCTTTTTTTGGGGTCCTATCAGAAATGGTATGAAATCCTATCAAAAACAGTATACTAGTCAAATTTTTTTTTTATCCTATCAAGAATGGTACATAAATTGATTTTTTTTTTACTCTATCAGGAATGGTATATAAATTGATTTTTTTTTTACCCCATCAGAAACAGTACTGACAATCCATCAGGAACAGTATTTTTGCCTTGCTTATATCTTTATTAGATAATTTATAAAATAGTAACATATGTGCAATACATATATTTCTACTATTTGTATTAGTACAAATAAAAGAAAAATTACATGCAAGAATAAAAGCTCAGACAATTAAATAAATCTAATTTATCTATGATCTAAACCTACTAGAGTGGTCAAAAACTTACCTAGATAATAACATTTATAGTTAAAATAAAAGTAGAAGTTGTGTAATACTTGACCTACAGAGCGGCCTAAATACTAATTTTTCTAAAGACCTGTCCAACAAGTAGACAGGTTTCAGTATATAAATAGAGTTAGTCAGGTTGATTACAGAAACAAGAATATATAAAATTATGATGAGTATGTATATTATTTCTACTATAGAAGAATGAAGTTTGTTGCTTAGTATATGTATATGTTATTTGTTGTTGTTTTTTCTAATTTGAAAAATTAATATAGTAGAGTTTTTATAATTGTTTGTAGATTTGTTTATTAATTTTAAGCAAAATATTAATCATAATTGTTAATGCTAGTTTGTATAGAACTTCTAGATTCTGAATAGTTTTAATTGAAAATAAGAGAATAAGACCTTTAAGAGTAATTTCTAGATAGTATAAGGATGAAAGAAGAGATGTTTCTTTGAAAGCTAAATGGTCTTTAATTTTTTGAATAAGTTTTTTAGTTCTGTTGTTAGAAAAGTCTAAATTGGCTAAATTGATGCAGTTAGTTATTGCATTAGAAATAATGCTATCAAGCAAAAAGGAGTTGGCACAAATGCATTAATGTAATAGTAATATAATTAAATTGTAGTAAAAGCAATTGGCATCATGAAAGGTTAGAGAATAAATTTTATAATAGAAGTATTGAGTAGATAGTTCATTAAGAAGTATTTTAATTTTAACTGATTTGAATTAGTTAAGTTTAAAATTAGTAAAATTGTGAATAGTTTTTTGATTATGATTAAAGTATTGTTAGGTTAAATTTTAGTTAATATGGTAGGCTAATAAAGTCTATTTGTCATTTCATTTTTGTGATGACTATAGTACAAGGTTGTAAGCTTTACAGATACTTTTAACAAAGTATCTGGTAGGAAGTTCAATAGGAATTTTTCTGTTTCAAAGAATAATAAATGATATAGGTTGTAAATATTTGTATAGTTAAAGTGTAATAAAAGTTTATTGATATATTGCTTAGCAAGTAAGTCTGCTAGATTGTTAAGAGTTTTTCTGAATAGACTTGAACTTTATAAAAGATAATATTTTAATTTGTATAATTTAATAAATTTAGTAAAGTATACTATAATGGTCAAAAATTAAATTTAAAGAGTTTATTAGGATTTAGAGATAATTGATTAAAGTTGAATAAATTTTGATATTATAGATTAAGAATCTGTATAGATGTTAATTGTAGAATTTTGAAAGGTAGTTGAAATAGTAAACAGAATAAAGAAAAGTTTAGCCTTGTAAGATGATGGCCAAAGATGAACTTTGGTAGTGAATTTGTAGATACTTGGTCATTAGAATCTACTTGAACATAGTTGATACTTATAGTACAGTTATTTGTACTTATACCAATTACTAAACCATTAGTATAAAAGTTAAATAGATTGTATAGTAAGTTATTATAAGATATTTAATTAAGTTTGTTAGTTGCTTTATTTGTTTCAAAAATTGCAGATAAGATGAAGTTAGAGATAGGAATAGAAGCCAATAGTAGTAGTAAAGAATTTGGCAAAGGGCATTTAATTGCAGCAAAACTGAGAAGGTCTAGATAGTTTGTATTTATTTTAACTAAGTTTGAAATAATTCTACCAAAAAACTAAACAAATATAATAGGTGAAGTATTAATGATATATAATGTAGTTATTTATTATAAGTTAAGTTAAAAGAAACAAGATTAATCTGTTGAAGTAGATAGTAATCAGTATTATTTATATTAATATCTGTTTGCCAGTATGTGATTAATATTTGGTTAAAATCAGTAAAATGTTTACAGATTTTGCCTATGATAATTTTTTCATTATTAAAAGTAATTAGCTATGTTTATGTTTATTAGGAATATTATATATGTTATATACAAAGAGGTTAGTTTCTTGCTGTTGGTATTGAGATTTGAGAGAATAATAATAATAATTTTCTATAATAAAATTTTTAAGTTCAGTAAACTAAATCAGTTTTCTGCCTTTAGGCAAATAAAGAATTCTTGATGATAGATGTAGCTATTTAAGAAGTATAATATTGTCTAAGGTGCAAAGTTGTTCAAGGTAAAGTAGATTTAGTTATCTAAGTTGTTTTTTAAAAGTTATATATTTAGGATAATGTTGAAGAATAAGTTCAAGAGGTTGAAGCTAATAATGAATAGTGTTTGGCCATAATATATATATTACTATTAGCTCTAATAGAAATAGCAATTTGTGAAAATAGTTGGATAATTTTAAAATTAAGAGTATCACAGGTTGAATGAATAAATAAAGAGTAAATAATAGGCAAATAACAGAAAAAAATCTGCCATTATTCTACCCTATATCTGCCAAATAATGGCAGCATAACAGCAGCATAACAGCA